GGTACCCCCGGCTCTGGATACTGATTCTGAGGCCTTAGTCAATTCTCTCTGTCTTGGAAGCGTCTCCTGCAGGCTCTTCAGAGTCACTGCTCTTCCGTGGCCAGGCAGCTGCTGCTTATCCTGGAGCGAGCCAGAGAGAAAGGCATCAGCACAGCCGGGCGTCTTGCTGGGTGTAGGGAGCAGGCTTTGGGCAGCGAGTGATGCAGACGGATCCCTCTCCCACGGAGGGAGCTGTGGCTGAGGCTCATGCCAAAGGCAACCCAGGCCAATCCTAGAGGCTGCTCAGGGGGCTGCCATGCAGGGGCCCTGACACTCCCCAGGGGAAATCCCAGTGTGGCTGAGAACGGAGTTTCCTCCCGCATCCAGGGCCCTGTGTCACACAGTGGGGGCGTGCCCAGAACACAGCGACGGGTTAAGGAGTTGTTCCTCCCTACCTTTGACATCTCTGTTTAGGCGCAACTGAAACAAAAAGGAGGAAAAATGTTAGTGGAAACCCCTTCCCCCACTCTGTGCCAGGCTCCGAGAAGGGCTCAGCCTTCTTTAGAGTGGGATTTTCAGACCTGCCTAAGGGATTCAGACACCCAGTTGGCAAATTACTGGGTCCAAATCCCCTGGGGCAGGTTTGAGACTCTTATGTTTGAGACTCCCATCGGTTTGGGCTTTGTGCTCAGAGAGGGGGGTTTGGTGCTGCCTCTTTGCAGCTGTCTAGGTGGGCCGGGGTGATGGCAGGCCCACCCGCAAGGGGGGCAAAGAGGGCTCAGGGGACTACCATGCAGGGGCCCTGACACTCCCCAGGGGAAATCCCAGTGTGGCTGAGAACGGAGTTTCCTCCCGCATCCAGGGCCCTGTGTCACACAGTGGGGGCGTGCCCAGAACACAGCGACGGGTTAAGGAGTTGTTCCTCCCTACCTTTGACATCTCTGTTTAGGCGCAACTGAAACAAAAAGGAGGAAAAATGTTAGTGGAAACCCCTTCCCCCACTCTGTGCCAGGCTCCGAGAAGGGCTCAGCCTTCTTTAGAGTGGGATTTTCAGACCTGCCTAAGGGATTCAGACACCCAGTTGGCAAATTACTGGGTCCAAATCCCCTGGGGCAGGTTTGAGACTCTTATGTTTGAGACTCCCATCGGTTTGGGCTTTGTGCTCAGAGAGGGGGGTTTGGTGCTGCCTCTTTGCAGCTGTCTAGGTGGGCCGGGGTGATGGCAGGCCCACCCGCAAGGGGGGCAAAGAGGGCAGTTGCCCCAGGGCCTGGTGATTCCAGGGGGTTCGAGGTTCCTAGCCACCACTGGTGCTACTGAGGCAACAGCAGTAGCTGGAGCCCTGGGCCCTTTAAATCACCACCGGAGCACCGTGCTTTGCGCTCTGCACGGCTCTGAGGGCTGCAGGGGAGGGCCAGTGCCCAGACCACTGAAGGCTGGCTGCTCTGACTCCGCTCCTTCTGCCTAAGGTGATGCCCTTTCCGGCAGTGTGAAGCCAGGGCTGCCCACACCTTGCCTGGAGACCCACAGAGGCTGTTGGTCCTCCTGGGTGAGGATATCAGCCTAAGACTTGAGAACACCATGTTCACAGTCCTTCCTCTGCCACAGGCTTCCCGGGCGGCCTTGGGCCAGTCACTCAGTCCCTTTGAGTATATCTGCACTGCAATAAAAAGGCTGCAGCTCGTTCTTGCTCACAGGGCTGTAAAGAACAATATAGATGCTCAAGCATCTCTCACAGCATCTACCTCCTGCTAATTTTACCCCTGTAAGCCTGAGTCAGCTGACCTGGACCTGAGTATAAACTACATGGCTCCCTCGACGGACCCATGTAGATTTGTTGTTTTGGCAAAGGCAAATGAAGCCGCGATTTAAATGATCGCAGCTTCATTTAAATTTACATGGCTGCCGCGCTGAGCCGACAAACAGCTGATAACTACATGGCTCCCTCGACGGACCCATGTAGATTTGTTGTTTTGGCAAAGGCAAATGAAGCCGCGATTTAAATGATCGCAGCTTCATTTAAATTTACATGGCTGCCGCGCTGAGCCGACAAACAGCTG